ATGACTGAGTATGAAATGTACATTTTAAAATAATTAATTCAACAGCAACACGACCCTATGGGTCCTAAAATATCGGCACATAGCCTAAACATGATCTTTATTACGAGCCACAGTTCAATTCCTCTAAACACGTGTGGCATGTTCAGATAATAATATGATTCTTTAATTTGCAACTTCAGAGGATTTATTCAAGTCAATTTATATGGTGCACGTCCACACGCTCGTCAACTATCGTGTGTGTCACCTCCAAATAATTTATATAACACCAATTCTGGGATTCATATCCTCATAACTAATTTTAGAAGTGTTACTTACCTCAACTCGTGTAATTTCTCACTCTGTTATGCCCTGCCTCGAGAATTGGTCTCCGAAAGCCTCGTATCTAGTAACAAATAATTCGATTCAGTCAATAAAAATTACTGGAATTAATTCCAGAAGAAAATACAAATTTTCTAACAAAATCCGAAATTTAGCTCAAAAATCGCACGTGGGGCCTACGTCTCGGAACCCGACAAAAGTTACAAAATCCGAAAGCTCATTCAACCACGAGTCTAACCATACCAATTTTACAAAAATCCGACCTCACCTCGACCCTCAAATCTTCAAATTAAACCAAGAGAATTTTCTAAATTTTTCAACTCAATTCACTAATTTAGTGATAAAAACAACAATAGATTCATGTAATTTAACCAAAATCAGGTTAGGAATTCTTACCCCAATGTTTTCCTTGAAAAACTCTCGAACAATTGCCTCGCCCGAGCTTCCTTGGTCCAAAAATGGAAGAATGAGACAAATTTGGACTTTATTCTGCTGCCCAGGGATTTGTTCTTCGCGTTCGCGACCCTCCCCTCGCGTTCGCGATGAACCAAATCTCCAACAGCCATTTTCAAACCCTTCTCAGATAGCTTCTAGTATAATGGTCATAACTTTTTGTACAAAACTCCAAATATTAAATGGTTTAACTTTCTGTAAACTAGACACCAAGACTATAACTTGCATTTGTTACTCATCTTCCAATTCCTTATAGATTGCGAGATATACATTTCCAAATTCAGCCCTGTACAATAGAGATTTTTAAACTCTTTCTAGACAGCCTATAGTTTATCTACCATAACTTTTTCTACATAACTCCAAATGACAAATGGTTTACCTTTCTGAAAACTAAACACAAAGGGCTACAACTTTTATTTTTGGATCAGCTCTAAATTTTATATAGATTGCGAGATATGAGCCTCCAAATTAAGATGACACACACTAAAAATTCCTTCTTCGCGAACGCGAGATCCTCTTCGCGAACGCGAAGAACAAAGCCCCAACAGCAAAATCCTTCTTCGCGAACGCGAGAGGCTCCTCGCGAACACGAAGAACAATACTAGAACCAGCAACCAGCAATATCAAAATACCAAAACTTGGTCCGAAACCACCCCGAATTAAACCTGAGGCCCCCAAGACCCCGTCCAATCGTACCAACCAGTCCCAATATATAACACGAACCTGCTCGAGGCCTCAAATCACATCAAACAACACTAAAAACACGAATCACACATAGATTCAAGCCTAATAAGCTTTGAAACTTTTAATTTCTACAAACGACGCCGGAACCTATCAAATCACGTCCGATTGACCTCAAATTTTGCACACAAGTCATAAATAACATAACAGACCTATTCAAATTTCCAGAATCGAATTTCGGCCCCGATATCAAAAAGTAAACCCCCCGTCAAACTTCCCAAAAATTTGACTTTCGCCATTTCAAGCCTAATTCCTCTACGGACCTTCAAATAATTTTTCGAACGCACTCCTAAGTCCAAAATCACCATACAGAGCTATTGGAATCATCAGAATTCTAATTTGATGTCGTTTAGACATAAGTCAATATCCGATTAACTTTTCCAACTTAAGTTTTCAATTATGAGACTAATTGTCTTATTTCACCTCGAAATCCTTTCGAACCCGAACCAACTAGCCCGGTAAGTCATAAAATAACTATAAAGTATAAATTGAGCAGTAAATGGGAGAACGAGGTTATAATCCTCAAAACGATCGGCCGAGTCGTTACAGTCAAGCAGTTGCTCAAGGCGTTAAAGTTCGGAGAAATCAGCAAGATGGAATTGGTGTGTGATAATCGAGATGCTCTTCATATCGCATCAAATCCGGTGTTCCATGAGAGGACTAAACACATTGAGATCGGTTGTCACTTTTTCAGAGAAAAGATACTCTTAGGATATATTATTACAAAATTTGTGAAGTCGAATGATCAGCTAGCAGATATTTTCACGAAGTCTCTTAGTGGTTCTCGTATTAGTTACATATGTAACAAGCTCGGTACATATGATTTATATGCACCGGTTTGAGGGGGAGTGTTAAGTAGTTTGTCATGTATAGCATCTTACATCGGAAGGTAGATACCTATTATTATGTAATCATTGTATATAAATAGGGGATTGTACAACACTTTAGATAATCAATACTATATTTTCTCCCGTGCTTTCTCACAAGTAAATATACAAATACAATGATACAAATACAATGATACAAATTCTCTTCTTTGCTATTGAATCACATACAATGATACATATACATTATATGTTGTACAAATACATTTTTTATCGCATGTATTTATGTATTCCGAAGGTTATTTTTTTGGCAGATCCCTGTATTTTTTGAATTTATTATTTAAAATTTAAATACAGCCAAATTAAATATAGTAAATTGAACACAGTGTAAAAGCAGTTACGAATGAATATAGCGAATTGAATACAACCGAATATCACTGTTTTTATTATTTGAATACAGTCAAATTGAATACAATGTAAAATAGTTAAGAATTTATATAGGTGAATTGAATGCAGTGTATACAACCGAATCGAATAGAGCGGTATACACCAAATTTCTTAATTTTTTTATTATTTGACTACAACTGAATTCAATATAGTGAAATTGAATACAATATAAAATATATAAGAATGAATACATCCGAATTAAATAGAGTGTATACAATCAAATTGATACATGCTGATTTTTTGTGTTTTTCGTTATTAAACAGTTATAATCCCTATTTTTAGGTGGATTACCTCATTATGTTTATAAATACAGTCGCGCCAATATATGGAATACAAAATTAAACAGCTAAAATCCCTACTTTTTAGGCAGATTATCTCACTAAATTTATAAATACAGTCGCACGAATACATGGAATACAACACAGTAGCAACGAAATTGTAGCTACGACTAGTAAATATGAATATTATAGCTATACCACGCTAATAGGCACTTGACTGTAGTGATTTCTGAAAATTCATCTTATATTTTCAAGGGAGTTTTTCTTATGTATACTATAATAGAAACTTATTTATCTATTTTCTTTAGGTTTTATAGTTTTCAATCAATATCAAGATTTTTCTTACAATTTGTATATATTCCCTCTTAAAATGCTCTCACCCTATTATTAGTGCCTTCAATTAAGGAATTCAATAAAATTCTTTCCTTTTTCTCCTCTCCTCTTTTTTTTTTTTTTCCCTCTTCCTTTCCCTAATTTCTTCAGTGTGTTTGACTAACACGCTCATCCACAAATTGATCCATTCGAAGACCAAAAATGCATATGATTCTCGAGCATACATACATACAATTTCGGGTTTTAAGATTTTATGATTTTTTGGATTGGATGTTCTTGCAAGTGATTGAGAATATCCTTTGAAATTTATATCTCAATTTTGATGGAGATTAGTTAAGTACATAGTTATTAGAAGAAGAAGAAGAAGGAAGAAGAAGAAGAAGAAGAAGTAGTTGTAGTAGTTGGAGGAATTATATAACAATTGTATTAGAATCCTAATACATCAATACCTAAAACATAATAGTATCATAAATGTATTATACTTGTATCACAATTGTATATAACTTATATTTGATATATTAATACCTAAAGCAATACTTGATACAATACTAACGTAATTCTCATACATTTGTGATACAAACTGCGATACATTTCTGAAAAAATAGTGAGACAATTGTGATCTTCATCTTCTTCAAGTTTCAATCATAACTCTAAACTTAAAATTTAATATAATATTGTATTATAATTATATTAGTATTGTATCAGATATTATTTTAGGTATTATTGTATTAGATACAAGTAACATACAATTTAATGCAATTGTGATGCAATTCTAAAATAATTGTGATGCATTTATCATACAATTCCTGCAACTTCGTTTTCTTCGAGTTTCAATATAATTTTTTACGTAAAACCAACTCTAAACTTAACCAGTTTCCCTCAAAATTGAGATATAAACTACAAGATATATTTTTCATCGTTTGCAAGAATACTCAATCCAAACAAATCACGAATTCGTAAATTTCAAATATTGAATTCAAAGTTTCGAAAGTTTTTAATGGATATCGATGGAGTACCCTTTGCTGCTACAATTTTAGAGACAAAATTTTCTCCATTTTCATTTATATTTTGAGGGAAGTACAGATTTTGGATGATAAGTATGAGGGAGGGATGTGAAATCTTTTGAAAAATAAATGAAATTCAAATTTTTAGGAAGGGGTTGGTGAAGGAGAGAGAATGAGATGTTAAATTTAAGGAATTTATTATTATTATTTTTTTATTTATGATTTTGTACATAAATGATAAATATAGATATAGAATATAATTAAGTAAGAACCTAAGTAAAAGAGGTAAATAAATTTTTATTATAGTATAGCTAGGTAAATATTCATATTTTCAATAACTCGCTATAGTGAATAAAATTCCACTTGGACCAGGCCCACCAAACCTAGTGTCAAAAATCCAGTCCAAACAAGCTCATATATCAGACCTTGTTAATTCTGTCATTTATCTTGTTTAATTTTTACAATAATTTCGTTATACGCTGTTAGTGCCTATTCATTTAATTAAGGGATTTTAGCATCCACGTTTATAATGTATAAGTGTGAGCCGTTTAATATTATATTCTGACTTTCTTGTCCCGCGTCGATCCAATCTCGGAAGCATAAATCTTATCATACGTTAGGAGTGCAAAATCAAAGAACTCTAATTTAGTGAGTTTGTTAGCACGATATAAAAATAGTTTATTGGCTTTACGATACAAAGAGTAACATTAAACGATCTTAATAATGTAACAAAATAATTTTGTGACTTTACTAATAGAGGTAAAGTTCAATGACTACAACCCATTAAAGTAAATTAAACATTATAGTCAATTAATCAAAAGTCGCCACCCCTACTATTTCCTGTAGAAGGAACGAATAATTATGGGATAAGTGAAATTAAGGAAGCTGATTAAGATAACAGATAGAGATAGTGTAATTAACATATCTATCATCATTAGATTTTCAAAATTCCAATTTTCAAATCTAAAAAAAATAAACCCGAAAAGAGATAATGGTAAATGCCGTTTCCCTTACTTTCACATTTCACATTAACACATGGGAAAATTGTTACAGATACAGAACGGTAAAATATTACACCAAATACTAACCATTTTTTCTTCTTTACATCACCAGACTCTAATTGACCTCATAAACGCAACAGAAACCAAAAGGAAAAAACAGCAAAAAACTATCAAATTTCAAGAGCTAGTGAATTTGGTAACAGCTTTAGTACCCTCAGAAACAGCATGCTTAGCCAATTCACCGGGAAGAACCAATCGGACGGCAGTCTGAATTTCCCGTGAAGTAATTGTCGGCTTCTTATTGTACCTAGCAAGTCTAGAAGATTCCTGAGCAAGCTTCTCAAATATATCATTAATAAAACTGTTCATGATACCCATGGCTTTGCTTGAAATTCCGATATCAGGGTGAACCTGTTTCAGCACCTTGAAAATGTAGATCTTGTAAGTCTCAATTGACTTTTTTGATCTCTTCTTCTTCTTATCTCCGGCGGCAGCAGCGCCGTCCTTCGGGAGCTTTTTGCCGGCCTTTGATGATTTCTCGGCGGCGGGGGTTTTTTCGGCAGCTGGTTTTTTATCTGCGGGTTTTTTCTCTGCCTTTGGTGCCATTTTGAGGGGATAAAGAAGATTTTGAGTAATATAAGAGGAGATTAGCAGAGTTTGTAGAAAATCGGGGGGATTTTAAGTTCGAATAGTGTGAAGGGAGTGGGGTAAAGAGTTTTGCTTATATAAGAAGTTGAGGCGAGCTGTTGATTGGTTACTTTGGGATGACGCGGATCGTGAGTTTCAGCCGTTTGATGTTTTAGTCAATCAACGGTGTAGAATGAAGGATGACTTGGATTGAATTAATCTCCCCCATACTTTGGAGAAAAACAGGATTTTTTTTTTGTCGATAGTAAAACAAGATCTCTGTCCTACTTTTTTCTTTCTTTTTTTTTTCTCCAAATATATACCTTATGTATTTTAAAATAAAATATTCACGCTCCAATGCTATTAAAATTCTTATATAAATATATATTAGTTAGAATATTTTCACTACTTTAAGTTCTTTTTTCCCTTTTTGGTTAAACCGAATATAAGGGTGTTCGAAGAGAAATTAAAACTAAATCAAATCGGCTTTTGGTATTAAACAAGTAAAAATATCGACCAAATCAATATATAAATATATTTTTTATTTATAGATAATATAAAATATATATAGTTTTTCCCTTAGTTGTCAGTTTAGCATGATCTATGATCCTTTCTTGAGATGTAATATTTGTTTTATTTAGTAAAATTTATGATATCTGATTATCACTAACAAGACTAATTCGAATTTGTGTTACGTAGAGCAGACTAAAAGGGCGGCCTCTAAACTATAAATTTTTCTGTTCACCTAGCTTGAAATCGAAACCAAAGTTAACGATATATTGCCAATGCTTGAAATGTAATATTTATAGCATTGTAACGATCCGGCCGGTCGTTTTGAGTATTACAACCCCGTTCCCCCATTTACTGCTCAATTTGTGCCTTACATTTGTTATGTGACATGTTGGGGTAATTGGTACGAGTCCGGTGAGATTTTGGAATGAATTGGAACACTTAGTTCCAAGGTTTAAAGCTTAAGTTGAAATAGTTGACCATATGTTGACTATGTGTAAACGACCCCAGAATAGAGTTTTGATAATTCTAATAGCTCTGTATGGTGATTTTGGACTTAGGAGAGTGTCCGAAAAACTACTTGAAAGTCCGTAGTTAAATTAGGCTTGAAATGGCTAAAATAGAAATTTAAGTTTGGAAGTTTGACCAGAGAGTTGACTTTTTGATACCAGGGTCGAAATCCAGTTCTGAAAATTGGAATAGGTCCGTTATATCATTTATGACTTGCGTGCAAAATTCAAGGTCAATCGAACTTGATTTGATAAGTTTCGGCATCGAATGTAGAAGTTGAAAATTCTTAGTTACATTAGGCTTGAATTGGGTATGATTCGTGGTTTTAGCAATGTTTGATGTGATTTGTGATTTCGACTAAGTTTGTATGATATTTTAGGACTTGTTGGGGTATTTGGTTGAGGTCCCGAGGGCCTTGAGTGAGTTTCAGAGGGTTAACAGATCAATTTTTGGACTTGGAGATGTGCTGGAATTTTTCTGATGCACTATCTGGTTTCCTTCATCACGTTCGCGAGAGGAGTCTCGCGTTTGCGAAGAGAAACTAAGGGACAAGCAAGATTTTCTCTTCGCGTTCGCCAAGGAGAGGATGTGTTCGCGAAGGGTTGGGCAGGTTGTGCATCGCGAACGCGAGAGGGTTGTCGCGTTCGCAAAGAAGAGAGGGAGCTGGGGTTGGACCAAACGCGTTCGCGTGAGAGGCTTCACGTTCGTGAAGGCATGAGGTCGTTAATCATCGCGTTCGCAAGTAGGATCTCGCGTTCGCGAAGAAGAAATTAGGGCAGCAGATTTTTGTACTTCGTGAACGCGAGGCAAGGGCCGCATTCGCGAAGGAGAAAATTCTGGGCAGCACAAAATGTGTTTCGCGAACGCGAGGCAGTGGCCGCATTCGCGAAGAAGAAAAACCTAGACAGAAAGTTTAAGTTCTGAAAATGGGACATCCATATTTGACGAATTGGAGCTCGGGAAGAGATGATTTTTGGGAGATTTTCAAGAAAAATAACGGGGTAAGTGTTCTTAACTCAATATTGGTCAAATTATACGATTTCATGGTTGTTTTTAACATTTAATTGGTGATTTGAGTTGGAAAATTGTGAAAACCCTCTTGGCTTAATTTGAAGATTTGAGGTTGAGTTGATGTTGGAATTTGATAAAATTTATATGGTTGGACTCGTGGTTGGATGGGCGTTCATATTTTGTAACTTTTGTCTAGTTCTGAGACATGGGCCCCATGCGCGATTTTTGAGTGCAATTTTTGGATTTTAGTGGAAAATTAGTATATTCATATGGAATTAATTCCTATAATTTGTATTGACTTAATCAAATTATTTGTGACTAGATATGAGGCGTTTGGAGGCCGATTCGCGAGGCAAGGGCATAGCAGAATAAAGAATTTCACGGTTTGAGGTAAGTAACAATTCTAAATCTGATTCCGAGGATATGAAACCCCGGATTTTTTGTTATGTGATCGATTTTGAGGTGACGCACATATTAGATGACGAGCGTGTGGGCGTGCACCGTAGGAATTATGACTTGGTCAAATTCCATAGAACGGTGTAATTGAATAATTTGTTGTTATCTGTACATTCTCCATGTAGTAAAAAAATTGAACCACTAATCATGTTTAGATTATGTGTTGGCACTGTAGGGACTCACAAAGGTCGTGTACAAGTTTAATTATCTGCTAAATTATTATTTTGTACTTAGTCGTAGTTACTTGTTTATTTTATCCCAGTCTCTATTATTCATTATTGATGCATCATATCATTGTTGTTTGGGCTAATTTTCATTATTATTGAGAGCCCGAGATACTAGAGAGATTTATGACTAATTGTCCGTGCAACATGTGAGTTGTCCGTGCAACACGTGAGTTGTCCGTACAGATCTAAATATTATACTATAGCACGTGAGTTGTCCGTGCGGATCCAGATATTGATACTATAGCACGTGAGTTGTCCGTGCGGATTATAGCGCTTGGGCTGAAGGAGCCCCTCCGAAATCTGTACACACACCCAGTGAGCGCAGGTATCTATTGAGTGTCGAGTGCTGAGCAAATGGGAGGACTGAGTGACTGTTGCCCTAAGAGGATGCTTTACTTTTATTATTGTTGTACTTCAGTTGGCATATACCACTATTTTGGGAATTTCTGAGAGATATTATTTATGTTTCAGTTGAACTTTATATGAAATTACTGTTTTGGCATTAAATGTTGAACTTGAAAGCATGCCTACCTTGTTATGTTGGAAATTACTGTAATTGGACTCAGCTGTGAAGCTCGTCACTACTTTTTATTCTTTATTTAGTATTGTTACTTGATGAGTTGGTTGTACTCATACTACACCTTGCACCTCATGTGCAGATCCAGGTACTTCTGGACACGGCGGTTACTAGTTCTCAGTGTTTTATTTGTTGGAGATTATCGAGGTAGCTGCTTGGTATCCACAGACCTTGAATCTCTTTCCTTTCAGTCTTAGTATTGCTCTATATTTTCAGACAGTGTTTTTAACAGTCACACTTTGTTATCATTTAGATGCTCATGTACTAAGTGACACCGGATTTTGGGAGTGTATTTATATCTGTATGTGTGAGATTTTTCTACTGAATTTAAATATTATATATTCAAACTTAAGAGAAATTATGGTTTATTGAGGTTGTAGGCTTGCCTAATATTGAGATAGGCGCCATCACGACAAGTTGGGATTTTGGGTCGTGACAAGCATGTTTCGTCAAATTTCTAAAATCTACTTATTTTGAAAAGTGCCTTTCTCAAAAGTGCTTTTCAAAAAAGTACTTTTGGTGAGAAGTAGTTTGTGTTTGACTAATTAATTTAAAAAGTATTTTTGAGCAACAATTAGTGTTTGGCCAAGCTTTTAAAGAGTGCTTCTAAGTGTCACGACCCAAAATCCCTCCGAAGGAGTCGTGATAGCACCTAGTCTCTAAAACTAGGTAAGCCTAACATTAACAGAAATAACGACAATATTTAATAACATCGAACAATTTCGAAATAGAAATATCTGTACAATTTACAATCCCAAAACCGGTAGTACAAATCATAAGCCTTTCTAGGAGTAGTTATACATAATAAATGCATCACTATTCCGGAACAAAAGGAAACAATGGAAATAAATACAATTAAAAGGTGACTTCGGAGCCTGCGAATGTCCGGCAGGTGTACCTTGAAGTCTCCAACCACACCAAGCATAAGTCTCAAAACCAACTCGATCTGAAGTACCTGGTTCTGCACAAAAGATGTGCAGAAGTGTAGCATGAGTACACCACGGTGGTACCCAATAAGTATCAAGCCTAAGCTCGACAGCGTAGTGACGAGGCCAGGTCAAGACACCTACCGAGAATATAAACCTGTGCAAGATATGACATAAAGCTAACAAGGAAGGAATATCAGAGTAATGCCAATAGCAGAAAGAAATCAAATTACAATCAATAATAACGCTAAGGGGAACACGAATGACAACGAGAAATAACCAATAATTAAACAACAACATAGTTGGAGTACATATGAAGTATAAATGTACTCAAGTAGGAAAAACGATACCAACTCAACCAATCAAATCGTTTCTAATACACAATTCCAACAATTCCAATGCTCGTAGTCACATATCATAAATCACAACTTTCAAACCTCTAGCACACATGGCACCTTGTGCCCACATCTTTTCATCTCACTTTGCACGGCAAAACCCACGTGCTACTCGGTACATAATATCCGTGTCAAATGCTAATTAAGATGTTTCATAGATTTTATTTATACATCACAAGGTAAAATTTCAGTTTCTAGATCAGGTAGGTAATCCGTGAGAAAGATCATTTTATTTTAGAAATCATTTGAGTGAAGAAAAATAATATTTTCCAAATAAAATACAACATTAAACAAGCTATTGAATTTAATATAGGATTTATTAAATTAAACCATAATAACAGTTTCCTTTGAAGTAAGATAAAAACCTCAGACAGGTTAAGAAGATTAAGTTGAGAAATCAATTGAAATAAAATATAACAACTATTAGAAATAGTAAATACCGAAATATACA